TTGTTATGTACATCACTCTTGACAAGCAGTATTATTGTAAACTGCAGTAGTACTTTGTGAATTCATACAAATGAGTGGGAGAGTCAATGCCTATTAATTAATTAGTATTGTTTAATAACTCACTATACTTTTCATCCATTCATTTTTATGTATTTATAATGCAGATCACTTCAAATTAGTGAAATCTTGGCAGTGTAAAACCCGGCTTCAGCAATGTTAAGAGGGAGATAATAGTGGTCTGTGAGTGGCGCTTACTGTTGGAGCATGAATTAATGAAAAATGGCATGTAACTATTGCAATGGGGGGAGAAGTCGAAAGGTTTCTGATTGCAGTGCATCAAACTCAAATTGTAAAACGTCTTTAGATTTTAAACATAACACCTCTCAAATGCATCCTGGTGTTACTACTAGGACAGCTGTAACTTCTGTGGTGAACTTTCTGTATGTTTTTAGTTATGAAAGCTATTCATAATCCTTCTTGAGAAACTTTGCCAACCCTATTGTTTGCAGCAGGCTTGTATAATTTGGAAGAGAGAAGAGAGTAAAGTGCCTTTGTGCTAGGAAATTCTATTCAATGGCAGCCAAGTTATACATTGTTTAAAACTCACCCTTTCCTTTCTCTGCTTGTGTTTCTCAAACAATATTGTCAGCAAGCCAAAAAATGGTTGAACATCAGTGTTCTAAAAAGCCTGGGAAGGCTGCAAGTGTAGCATGCAAAGTGCTCGGGGAGAGGGAAAGCTGTGGGGATACGGGGTGGTAGAGGGGGGGATAAAACAGGGCAAGTCCATCGTGCCTCAGCTACTCTCTCTGTCCTGACTCATGGATCCCAGCTTGGTCTTGAGGAACTCCATACTTGGCGGCCATCCTGCGATCCCAAAGGAGAAAGAGGGAAGGGACAGTGTGTATTATGACAAGATCTTTCCTTGTGTGATTATAGAGTTAAACGCTTACCTCTTATCCAAATTTCTGATCACAGATCCCTCTGACCTCATCTTATTGATTGCCCCAGTTGGATCTACAGGGGCACAACGTTAACAGCAGTACAGTTCTTATTTCCAAGCTTCCCAGACCATGACTTACTCTGTAACTTTTTTCTTCATTCTATCCTATATATTCATGCAGAAATACAGGGTCAAATGATAATGAAACACTATGGGGTTAAATTAATCTTTTAGCAGGTCCATTAATTTGATGGAATTACACAAGAGGCTAGGTTGATTTATAATGTAAATGCATTTTAGTAAAAGGTGACTAAATGAACAATTGCATTTAAAGATGCATGACTCTATTAGAGTTTAATTTTAAATGGCTGCAAAGAAAGGAATACATACCTCTTTTGTTTAGCTAGAAATAAATAGAATACACTAGAAGTGTTGGAGCTAATTAGTTAAGTGCTCAACTATTTAGTTTTTAAAACAAGATCACGCTTAAGTGCCTTAAGCTTTTATTAATTGCATGAACCCCAAAATCCCATATAGTAATTGAAAATTTAATTACATACGTTTTTTGTTCTTTTAAGAATGGAAGCTTATTAAACTTTAAACACTTAAACATCTATTGAAATACCAGTGGCTATAAACAACAAGCAATTCTAAATACTAATTAAACAGGAAGGCTAAATCACTGTAAAACTAAACTGAATTTTAAGTAACTTTGCACTCGTAAGTACTCCTATTTTTCTTCACGCCGTACAAGATTTACCGTTTCCTGTCTAAACACAGCAGGAGTCCTGGGCAGTGTTAGTATCTATCTGTACTGTGGCAGGAACATTGTTTTGTGAACATATTTGCAGTGGGGGTCAGTCCTTAGAAAATAAACCGAGTTTCGGGAAAGGAGACCAGCACAGGCAGAGAGCCATTTAAGTGGACAGCTAAAGCTGCTGGTGGCACTGGTGGGCAGAGGTTCATATACCTCTTGGAGAGGGTACGTGGTAGGCTAAGGCTGGTGAAAGGCAGGGAGACGTGGCTTTGTGGGGTTGGTCGAGAAAACGATGGTCTGTGCATTCCTGACACACAAGGTTTATGATTTGGAAACAGTTACATGTTGAATGGTCCTTAATTTGTCTTTGTTTTATAGAAACTTCACAGAATGGGGACCAGAGATATTGGTATCTCTGTTCTGTTTTTCAGATCCAATCTAGTGCGAGTCTTTGTCAGTTGATCAACTGATTAACATCTTAGTTAATTTTCTTTGGACAGATGTCTGACTTACCAAAATTAACCATTCCTTTCGCATTCTTATTAACACAAGATAAAGACAGAATGAACCTCTCAGTGTAAACTATCTTGTTATAAATGTGGCTCTTTTTTTAATGTAAAGGTTCACTTTTGCTTCTGCATGGTCAACACAACAAGAACAACATTAATGTTTAAGTGGATTGCTCATAGACACAATGTTGTCCTATACTGCCCAAAGCAAGTCTCTACCTAAAAGAGTATTTGAGATGTTGCCCATCACTGTCTCACTGTTTATACTAGAATTTAAAATGCCTCTAGGGATAGCAGGAGTAACCTGGTGGGATTAACAGCAGCAGAAGACACACCAGAATACAAATTCTTTTCAAGGAGAGTTCCAAATATGGATTGCAAGCCCTGTCAGTTTATCAGGCAGATGCAATTTGTCTGTCCTCAGAATATTACTGTAAATACTGAAACATGAAACAATGTGTCTGTCTTCTGTGGTAAGTCCTGTGTTTTCATACTGGGTTTAAATATTCAGAGGTAGCTGTGATCTTGCGTTTTGATACGTGGGCAAATGCAACAGTTAATTTTTCTCAGCATAAAACAGCAGGAGCAGTTGCCTTTAGGGGAACATGCAGGTGGGACTCTCAGCAAATGATGACTTCCTTCTTGCACCTCCAACCCTGTTTCGGAACATTCAGATAATCCAGGAGAAATAGTAGTAAAAGGGCCACAATTCAAAATCTGTTTTCCAAACACCAGCACCTCAAAACAATAAGAAGGAAAAGATCCTTTCATCCCAGGGTGTCAGAGTTTTCTGTTTGCTCATCACAGTTCTCCCAATTGGTTCATTTCTTGTTGCAGCATGTGTCAGGAATTTATCTACTTCATTCAAGAGTTACTGGTCTACCCAGCTTTTACGCAGTACTCTTCTCCCTCAAATGGTCTAGAAAAATCACCTTTGTACCATTACTGAAAGGCAAATGGTATTGTAGCTTGCTTATGGACTCTGAATCAGAGTGGCTGCATGACTTTATCAAGACAATAAAAAGTAGCAAAGCCTGGAATTGGGGTATGGGCTCCTCCTTTTTTTGCCCAGTTTCTTTCTTTTCTCTAGAAAACCGGAATGAAGATTCTATCAATCTTTTTATTAATTCGTGAAATACAAATACACTGTCACCCCAGGAAACATTATTAAAAGCAAACCCCATCCCTTTCCTAGTTGTGTCACTAGATGGCCCCACGTCTGAAGCAAACATCCCAGAAAATATCTGCTATACAGTTTGCTATAATATAGAATGATGCTTCCATCCAAGAGGATAGGATAGTTGTCTTTCCATATGGATATTCCTTTTATGCGTCTTGTGGGATTTAAAAACAGAAACCTTGGTCAGTAGTAGTTGGCTTGTTTGTGTGCCAGGCAGCGGCAGAGAGCAGCAGAAGTTGTTGCTACAGACACTGGGGTTTTGTTTCCAGTGTGAAGAGAACAAAGATCTGTGAGTTTGTCTCCTGCAGGTCCCTGACACTTGGGCTAGGCTTTTTCTCAGGGATAGGTGCAGGCACTGTTCAATTGGGGTAGAAGGGAGGAAAACTGGGAGCATGAGTGTGTATATGCATTACTGTGCAATATCATCAGGAATATATATGTGCTGTGCAAGCAACATACAAACTACTGCTCTTTCCCCATCCACTGAATAAGTGCCAGTCTTTTATACTCACACTGGGTCCTCATAAATAATGCCCAATGTCAGCATCCTGAAAGAGAAAGGAAATAATTTATTTGCCTAAATTTGGGTTTGGCCATACCTGTTTTTCCTGTGGTCCCAGCTTCAAATCCCAAGGAGGCAGACCAGAGTCAATATGCTGATTTTTAGAGCTGTCCTTGTAGCAGCTTCTGTTATGGCCCTAAAATCTTAGGGTTTCTCTGCAGGCACTTAGCATACACGGCATGTTTCATCAGAGTAAGACGTAATTCCAGTATCTTACAAGATTTCTCTTTCCAGTGTCCCTTTTACTATATTTGGTATTGTACTGTATGCTTCCCTCAGATGTAGCTTCCCTGAATGATGGCAAAGATGTTTTGCGCTGCCTTATTTTTATTGCCCAACCATTTGTGAATGCCTTTGGGCTCTCCAATCCGTGTGAAGAAATGCATGGGACTGACTCCATATTGACATTTCTGCATGTCGAGACCTGACTTTGGTCACTCCTGTATTAAAATCTGGCAAGTTTGGTGTTATCCCCAACTACTAATTTTTCAAGTGCTCTGTATTTCACTTGTTGTATTTATATATCAAGGTCCATGAAATGGGAGATGCCAACAGTGTACAGCTGGTCTTTGTAGTGTAGTCAAACAGATCTCAGACCTGTTCTCCATCCTCCCTTCTCCAAGCAGTCGGAAAGTGGGTTTCTAGTTTCTAGAGGGAAGGACACAGCCACGCTGGAGCACAAGATTTCCTTGCACAGCCATTGGAGATGCTGTGCATGAGATCTGCAAGATTCATCCCCTGAAATTCACAGCAGCCTGAACATGTTGGAGATACATAACCATAGTATGGGAAGTAAGTTATTTTTTCAACCTCAGAGTAATTTTGTCTTTTCCAGGGAACAGTTTCTACCCATCCAGTAGCCCTGATAATGTGTAAGAAAAATTATGTTGAAAACCATTTTACTTCTGTTTATTAACAGTGAGTTGTTTTACAGTTCTTACATGCTGTTGTCTTAATTTGTTTGTTTCCACAGGCTACACTTAGATGCTGTTTACAGCAATAAAGAGAATATTACATTTGATCTAGAGTTCTGTCTTAATTCACAGGATGAGATGCGAACAGAAGCTCGTCGAAAAAATCTCCTCATTCTAATTTTCCATTATTTAATGGAGGAAGGGTATGTTTTTTAAATAATAGTGCTCTACATCTGTGGGTTTTTGTGTGTCTGACCTCCTGTAATGTGTCCTTCTGTCCTCTGTTGGATAGATGCACAGCATGGCCCTTTGGTTTGATGTGGCAAAGTGGTAAACTACTGTTACATGTATTGGCAGTTTACTTTGCTAAATTGTTTCAGTTTCTGCAGCAAAAATGTCCCATAGAATTTAAAAATATTTTAGAGCAATCAGCAAAGGGGTTTTAAATAGAGTTTATGCTTTTATAATAAATACAGTTGTGGACAGGTTAAAAATACCATATACTTACTAATGCTATAGTTTAGTTTTTCTCTCAAAAATCAGAATAAGATAATGACTTTTTTTTTTTTTTTTTTTTTTTTAAATTACCAGGTATGTTGATGCTGCAAATGCTTTGGAACAAGAGACAAAAATAAGTTTACGTGGCTTTGAAGTTTGTGACAATGTTGATCTTGAGACAATTTTGATGGAATATGAAAGCTATTACTTTGTAAAATTTCAAAAGTATCCTAAAATTACCAAAAAGGTCCTGGACACTGGTATGTGGCTGTTTTCCAAAAAGAAAACTTTTGTTTCTCAAAGCCTGAAATGTGTATTTGCCTCATATACTACTGTACTTTTCGCACATGTTGCCATTTAATGTTTGAACTCTCTTACAGATAGAGAGCTATAGTTCTAGCAGACAGGACATAAGAATTGAGAGACAGGGCTTTGAGTCTTTCTGCTCTTACTTCTCTCTTTATGTAGAGGAACAAGAAGGTGATATTTTTCTGTCTTTTAAAAACTGCTTTGATATTGGAAAATGCCATGTAAGTGCAAAATATTATGTCATGGATATATTCACTTTCTTCTCATGAGGAGAGAATAGTAAGTCTGTTCTACTTTGGATTTAATTTTTAAATGAAAATAAATCACTTAAATGAAATACACTTCTAAGCACTAGCTTGGATGAGCTAAGATACAGTATCACCACTAATCTCATTAAATGTTTATTATGTGCATTTTCTTATACTAAAGGGTAATATGCCAAACAAGCAATAGGTTTATTTGCTCCAAAGGACTTTAAAGTCTGAGGTATAAATGAATGACACAGAATAGGGCAAATCAGAGTATGAGCATTCTGTTATGACCCTGAGAGCCTGAATGGTTTTGGACTTGAGCATAAAATGCAACTTGTAGAACCCATGGAACAACTATGTAAGAATCAATTATAAAGAGCTTGGAGGGTGCAGAAAACACCACCATCTCTACCTGTTTGTCTTGTTGAGAAAAATATAATCCTCAGAGAAGGGGATGATTGGCCAGGGAACATCTCTGAGCAGTTGTCATTGTTTCATATGGCCGCCAGCAACTTTGGAACCACAGGTAAACAAAACATTCTATCAATATAATAAAATTACCTGTATAGGTGAAATGATTTCGAAATGTACTAAAGCTACTAGTCATCATTACATTAACGGTGATGTAGAAAATCAGTACTAGCTGGAAGCAAACATCTGCATGAAAGAGATTTAGGGCTGGAACCTATTGATTGGTGTTAATACAAAGAAGAGCAGCCTTGCAGGACAAAATCAAAGTGATTTGTTATGAATCAAGAAGGAAAATGTATTACAAAGCTCTCAGTACATATTTTTTGGTCAGGAGAGCTACTCAGACATGGGCTACTCTGCCATTACCCAAGCCCAGAATGGCAACCATGCCAGCAGGGGGGTGTCATCCTTTCTTCCCTGAAGCCTAAACAGCCTCCCTCCTGCACGTGTGTCTCTTGAGAAGCTGCTACCTAGTAGTCTGCAACCTGCCTTAAATTGTGTCCATGCTCAGATCATGGTATACGCAGCCCTTCCCACTAAATTCTTTGTAACGCTCTCAGCAAGTCCTACAGAACCAACTCATTTCTATGCTGAATTGCAGTTTGCGCTGTTGTAGATGTACCCGCAGGATTACAAGTTTCACGTGTGGGCTCTGCTGCCTCTCAGTACACCCACGCTGAATTGCAGTTTGCAGTGTTGTAGATGTACCCGCAGGATTACAAGTTTCACGTGTGGGCTCTGCTGCCTCTCAGTACACCGTGTTCCCCAGTTCTTTCAATGAAACAGCTGTTTGGGAAGGATTATTTTGTGTAAGTGTATGAGAATCTGGGTGCAAGGGCTTTGTACAGAGAACACTGATAAGAGATATATTTTGGAACAGCTAGGTGCATGCTAGTATGATACAAACCCTTGGCTTTATGAGTTCACATCTGGGCTTTGTAAGTTTGACATTTTGTGAAAACAAAGCTTTTCTTTGACAGAAAATGTTTCAAATTATGTAAGTGCAAAAAAATACCATAGTTTGATAACCACCATTGCAATAGGACATTTATGCTGTCTTGGTATGTTGAACATAGTAACGATACTATTAAGAGCAGTAAGGCAAATTCTTGTTTCCCAGTTCAATAATGAAAAAAATAGTAGCATTTAAATAAGTATTCTGTGTGATATATTAAATTAGTTAATCTAATTTCTGATAGTGTCCATTTTACAGTGAAAATTATATTGGTTTTAAAATGTAAGCAAAGAAACCAAAGACTGAATGAGCCTAAAATTTAACAAGCCTGAAGCCAAACTGGTCTCTCCAATATCAGTTTGTTTTCAAAACATTTTTGCAAGCTTGCATTGCTTGTAATCATGCTGTTCCTGTTTATGTATTGTTATTTCCAAGGTCATTAGTGTGTGCTCAAAAATCTTTTTGAAGGGGAAAAAACCCACAAGTTGCCCTTTTTTATATCCTTAATTATTTTCCATTTTAATATTAATTTTGCCACAGTGGAAAATAAACAACAGCTGAGAACTGGAGGAAGACCAAGAAGGTAAGAGAAATGTGTGGGGATTTTTCTGGGCAGGAAATTTTCCTGTAGAAGCAATATGGTTAAAATAATGTTGTGATACCATAGGAATGCTAAAGCCTAGAGTCACGCTGTTGGCTGTGTGGTGTGTTTTTCTGTATCTCTTAGAGGAAAATAGAGACTTATTTCCAAAATGGAGATGCAGACAATTTACAAAGTTTCTGCAGTGTGGATAAGGTAGGGTGGTGTGTTTGAAAGCAGTAAGCATTGAACTTTGCTGTGATTTAAACTGATGCCTTAACTTCAGTGGGAGCAAAGTTAGCCCAAAACCGTTATATTTGAAAACTCTGCCTTTTAATCTTTTGATATTTCAAAGGAAAAAAAGAAGTTGTGAAAGCCTTTCAAGATACTATTTTTGTAATTCTAGGGCAGCAAGCTCTTCTCAGAATCTCCCAAGGCTCAAACATCAGACACTGCAACGACCGTTGTCAAAAACTTCACCTGGGAGTACAACAGAATTTAAATTGTCCACCAAGGAGACCCCCAAACAGGTTTAAATGTTTTTTTTTCCTTGGCAGTATTACAGTTGAAATTAATGTGATTTTATTTTGAGAGGTTACAGGCAGCAAGAGGATGTGAGTTACACAATTAATAATTGTGTAGCTAATGGGGTTTATTAATTGTGTAATTTAAAGATTATAGATGCAAGTCTTCAGGAGAATATGCTGCCTGGCTGTGAGTTGGGGAGCAAGTCACAGGCAAAAAGTAGAGAAAAAGGAGTCATACAATTCAATCTACACTGAAAGCAACCAGAGTTTTCCCAGTAACTCCAGTAGATTCATTCTTCAGTGCCAGAAAGCCAGACAAACAAACCAAGTAGAAAGTCTGGTGTTAGTTGTAAGCACTTCTTTGTGAAGTGAGCCTCTTTTTTTTTTTTTTTTTTTTTTTAAGTTCTTGTCCTTATTTCTGCATAGGGTGGATCTCACCTTTGACTAGTTCTCTCACCTTTGACTACTTCTCTCACCTTTAAAAAAATTAGCTTTTGGACACTACAGCAATGACTGGTATGAAGTGAATGTCACAGTAACTTACAATCCTAAAATGGCTCCTCATTTCTGAGTTGACATGCTGTGCCTTGTACTTGCCTGTCGTTTCCACTGTTTGTAAGTGTCTCTTCTCATAGCTATGTAAAATGCTGGTTTCTACAACTTAAAATGGAAGCTCTGTGCATGAAATAACTTGAATGCTGAGCTCTAGAGCCATGACTTTCACCACTGCTGTCACTAGTCAGATGAAGTCTAACTAAATGTACAACGGTGTTTGTCTGACAAATATGGGACTACTGTTGCAACTTCCATGTAATGATATACATGAAGAGGTGGGATGATAACCTATGATGGAATGATATCTATAAATCATCTATTTGGCAAAATATGTGTTTTAAAATGGATTTTTTCTTAGAATAATGACGGTGCAGTTACTCTGGAGCAATCTGACTTTGGTTTAAGCATCTCAGCAATCAACAAAACTGGAGGAGACAGCACTCACTCAAGAAGGGTTGGTGGAAACCTGGTATGTGATTTATGACAGAAATCTGTATGTAGAAAAAACACATGAAAGTTTTTCACAAATATCAAATGTGAGCTTTTTGTGTCTATTTTTATATAAAATGTAGAGTTAGCTGAAGGGTTAATTTTATGATTTGGGCAGTAATTCTTTGTATAGGAGGCTCTGCTTGCATTAAATAGTATTATTTCAAACACTGTCAAGAAGGAAAAATATTTTTGGTTTTAAAACCCAGTGGTAATAGCTAAAACTGAAGATAAATTTCAAATTCCTGAATGAGATAAGAGGCTCTGCAATTAAATTGTTGTAGTGACTGAGGAGATGCGTGGGGTTTTTTCCCAATTGCTACCACAGATTCCGTGGTCAGGTTTTGCCATATTTAGGACTGTATGTGCAGTAAGGAAACTCACTGCTGTAATAGCAAGCAAAATTTGGCCTGATGCAATTTTAACAGCAGAGTTACCATCATGGGAAAGCTTATCACAACATTATTTTCTCCTTTAGGGCCAGGTAATTGACTTCCATGGGACAATTCAGGATGCTGTCAAAGTATCATCAAATGGAATAGCCTTGAACACCCTTAATTGTGATCCAGATCCATCAGTAAGTGTTTCTGTTCATATTTCCATCCAATGAATATAAACAACAGTTTTATAAGATAAAAATAAAACACTGCAACAACGTTGTCTTTGTTCCTAAGTGCTAAAAAAGGACTTAGATTTCTGAGTGGTGTATTTCCTTCTTGAATGGACAGTCATACTTGATACTGGCCTAATCTGTTGACAGTTGTTTACTCTTTGAACGTGAAAGTAGGCAAAAAATACAAATGATACATTATGATTCCCCTCCCCCCTTGCCAAAACTGCAGAAACTCACAGAACCTCTTAGGGTGAAATTCTGGTTCCTTTGAAGTCAGTATGTTATTTTGTGCTCACCTCAGCTGGTGATAGTCGAGACAAATTTTCTGTAATCATTCCTTGACACAAGCCATAGCTTCTCAGACAGTGCATCCAACTTACTTGGTGTCAGCCTGCCCAGCAACTGCTACACTTGAAGAAATTTTCAAAGCAGAGACTGTGACAATGTGGTCACCCATAGTTACGTTTTTCACTCTTAATCTTTGTAGGGCATGTTTAGGACTACATGTGCACTAAGAGACCTGCTCATTTTAATGTTAATTCAGGATTAGATTCTGTCAGATGAAAAGATGAGTTACTGCAATTATGGCTTACTTCGAAGTCTTTTTTATTATCCTTATTTTTACAGCTTTAAAAGTTGATATTATTATGATGTATCAACTTTTTTGAAACTATTTCATTGTTCATCTGTTTAAAAATAATTGAAGTCTGACAAGAATTTATGTTTGTCTTTTTTAGGAAAGATTATTGAAACCCCTTAGCGCTTTTATTGGCATGACTGGTGAGATGAGAGAACTTGCAACAGTTGTAAGCAAAGTAAGATTGGATCTCCATTTCGGTTGTACAGAGATCTTGGTTATCTTTCTCATTTGAGAATGCTGTTTGTTTCTTTTTTATTGTCACTGATGGTGCTTGTTCTTGAATCTGCAAGCTATTTGTCTTATCATGCAACTCCCAACAAATCATTCTTTACATGTCACGGTGTTTCTTTCTGATACACAATGGGAGGAAGTAATTAAGACCATTCCTTTCTAATGGGGAACATGTAATCTAATCATGCTGTACCCATGAGACTGTCATAGCTTTTCCCTTTGTTCTTATTGCTACAGAAAATGTACAAAACCTCACTGAAAAGAGAGATTTAAATATATTAGCTAATACCAACTCTTATCTAATGTATTATCTAACTGTGATCAAATGATGGGAAAAACCTTGATTCAACTCTGTGGGTGCAGTTTCCATTCAAGGCATTGGGCTGTATTCAGTGTGGATGGTGTGCCAGTATTGCAGCAATATCCTGATTCTGAGTGTACCTACTAGATACCATGTACCAAATTCATTAGACATTGATATTCTCACATTCTTTTTTAATACTAGTCCTGTGCGTTCCATTGCGCTGCCTGCATCATCTGGACTCCTTGTCTTTTTCGCTTGGCGCAGTTGAGAGATGCTCTTACTGGAGGCTTTCGTCCCAGCACAGGAGCTGCATGGGCAGCATCAGTAACACACTGTATCCCAGGGCAGACTGGGGATTCTTCATTTAAATTACTGTCTGTTTTTTCATTTATGGTAAACCTTTAAAATAGTGGTGTTCTTGCTGCTGCTTTAACAAAAAGTAATAGGCTTGCCTTAGCCTTCATTATAGTATGTTTTTTAAATTGTGCCTGTATGTTCCTAGTTGCTATGGTAATCAACACTGTGTAAATCAATAAAAATAAATAGCATGTGGTATCTATTTCACATTACAATCTAATTTAATTTGGAAACAGTTATGGAAGTCTCTACTTAGTATCATAAATCTGATTCATCTTAATTTGCTGTTAATAGAAAGGGAAAGTGTAATCTACTCTATATAGATAATTTTTCTAATTGTATTAAATCAAATTTTCCCCACAGATATAAGCATGTAATTTTTCTTCAGTCTCTGGGGACTACCTTGTTTTATTGGAGAGCAGAATTTATCCCAGGTATTTGTATTGAGGATGTGATATTTTCTGCAGAACAATTAGTCTCTGGAACGCAAAGCCACCAAATATTACTAAGGCAAATGGAAAGATTCACAGAAGATTTGGAAAGTTTGATGAATTAAATGAAATTAATTTAGTGAGTGCTTCAGGGCATAGACTAATTACCGACTATCTTTTGATAGATGCTTAGGGGAAAATTTTCCTGCTGTTGCAGAGTTTCTCGCACCTTTTCTTGCAGCATATAAAATGTGTCATAGTGTGGAGTAAATAGCATTTTTTCATGTTACTTATAAGATAAGTAATAGGTGCAGCCATAAAGTTACTGAGCATCAAGTTTAAACCAAACAAAAGTATTTTCACATTGCACATGATTAAACTGTGGAACTGATTACTACAGAATAAGCATGTTCAAAAAAGAGGTAAGAGAAATTCACTGAAGAATGAATGTCAAAGGATGTTTGAACTCAAAGACTAAGATATAATTTTAATTATCAAAGTCCTTTGGTTGCGGATTTTGGTGAATGTAAATATGAACCAACATGTCACTCCTGTTGCTTTTTTTTTTTTTTAAACATCCAATACTCGCCAGCATCAGAGACAAAACATTAGGGTTGGTGAACCTTCAGGTTCACATAGCTCTTTGTATGTTAATTGGTTACTAAAATCAACTAACAGAAAACAGATCTGAGAGACAGATCTGCTCAGCATATACATTTGGCTGTGTATATGCTCTTAGGGAAACCCGGGGCAGCTCTGTAGAAATGATTGCTGTGTATGCTTTCCTCTTGGGAGGTCCCTAGTATGTAGGGTTAAATAATAGAGTTTGTATCACTTAATAGCACTCTTACTTTATAACTGACTCGATTCTTTTACTTTGCCAGAGGTCATTATCCTAGTGCACAAGAAATTTTACTAACAGGATGTGCTGTATGTTGCAGGATATTTATCTCCATAATCCAAATGTGAAGTGGGAGGATATTATTGGACTGGATGCAGCTAAAAGACTAGTCAAGGAAGCAGTTGTTTATCCCATAAGGGTATGGCACTAAATAATTTTGAGAAAACCAGTGTTGGGCTCGTTAGCATTTTCCTTGTAATTACGGTGATATTTTAGATTGTCACTGTCTCTGTGCTTTTGCAGACAGTTCATGTTAGAACTATTCCTGCTTCTGTTTCATCTGATAATGGTGTACACATTCTCCTATAGGAAAATGGCCTTTCAATATTAAAATCATAAGTTTTGGGTCCTATTCTTTGGCACCTTTGGCGATGTAAGAGGTGCTGGATTTGGTCTATATTAATTCAATGGGAAGTGACTGAGAGAATGTCAAACCAATTGCATTTGAAGAATTCACTTAATTTCAAATGGTAAATACAATATTCTTCTCAGAACTCAGATCATATATATTGTATTGGTTTGGAGGGTTTTGTCCCTTCTCTTCAAATTTGTTAGGTTTCCTGAATGCGTTGGGAGCAATGGGGACTAGGGGTTAGAATCCCTTGCATTTTGTTATAGATGATACATTTTTAATCCCTGAATTACTTTTTGGTTTCCACAGTACCCCCAGCTGTTTACAGGCATTCTGTCTCCTTGGAAAGGATTACTACTGTATGGACCACCAGGTATGAAAAGCTTTACACCATATCCATTTGTTTGTCACTACTTCTGTTTTTGTCCCCCCGATAAATCATTGATGCTAATTAGATCAAATGTGTTGATAAAGAACACATTCTGTAATGTGAAATAAATTATTATTACATCTGCCTCTCACACTGAAACATGTCCATTTGCCTTTCTCACAACCCATGACTATTGCTACTATTTCTGAATCTCCCAAAAAACAGTACTTACACTAACCAGAGGAGTGAGAACTCATGTTATATCTCTGTTTTTACTCAGCTTGGGCCATATAACTCATGTTTGGCTTGACCTGATTGCACAAAGTGTGAATAAATCTGGCATGGATTTATGAAAGAAAATGTCCTTTCTTTCTTCTTCTTTCTTCTGCATTTGGGAGTTGTTTTGGAAATGGGATGGAAACTTTGCCCTCTGCTGTGCTAGCTGGGTGTTTTCCATCTCATCACAGCTTCACTGCTCCCTTTGCTCCACTTGAGAGGAGCACTGCCACCACGTGTGTGGCTGGGAGGGGACAAAGAGAGTACAAGTACCATCCGAGTCAGGTTGCAAAGGCTGTCACTGCAGTAAACTCCATTTCTTCCTGTGAATGTTTAGATGTACTTGCCACAGAAGGCATCTGACTATTTCAGCGTGTACTACTTCAGAATTTGGGGAATGCATTTGCAGTGCTGTTTTAACTGAGCTTCTCCAGACAATTCTGGAAGGGTCACAAAGCTGATCAGAGGGCTGGAGCACCTCTCCTATGAGAACAGGCTGAGAGAGTTGGGGTTGTTCAGCCTGGAGAAGAGAGGGCTCCAGGGAGACCTTATTGTGGCCTTTCAATACTCAAAGGGGGCTTATAAGAAAGATGGGGACAGACTTTTTAGTAGGGCCTGTAGCAACAGGACAAGGCATAATGGTTTTAAACTAAAGGAGGGGAGATTCAGACTAGATATAAGGAAGAAATCTGTTATGCTGAGGGTGGTGAAACACTGGCACAGGTTGCCCAGAGAGGTGGTAGATGCCCCATCCCTGGAAACACTCAAGGTCAGGTTGAACGGGGCTCTGAGCAACCTGATCTGGTCGAAGATGTCCCTGCTCATGGCAGGGGGGTTGGACTGGATGGCCTTTAGAGGTCCCTTCCAACCCAAACCATTCTGTGATTTTATGACTTTTTCTATTTTAGTGTTTTTATCTGAGTGATGGTAGAATGAGAGGAATTACTCAAACATTTGCATCGTATTTCTTTAGAGAGTGAGTTTCTTCAACACTGTTGTTTGCAGGTACTGGAAAAACTTTGCTTGCCAAGGCTGTTGCCACAGAATGCAATACAACCTTTTTCAACATATCAGCATCCACCATTGTCAGCAAATGGAGGGGTGATTCAGAAAAACTTGTCCGGGTAAGAATTATTATCTCATTTATTATACTTTAAAAATCATCAGGTTCCCACTTAAAGAACCGGAGTTTAAGACCAAACTGGAAAGTAAGTATACCTCTGATACTCATAATCTTTCCTGTCTTGGATGAAACATGTGACTCTGTTCATATCTAGCTTATAAAATGGGAATAACATCAATTCTGCAGTCTCACAATGGATTCTTGCTGTGGAATTTTAGTTCTGTAATGTAAGATGAAGCAGATGTCCTGAAGGCAGCAAAGATTTTTGACTCACTGAATAAGAGACAGGCAAGCAGATTTCCTAACTAAAGCAGCGTTTGCTTAATGACCCCTCCAAAGAGCTTCACATCCTTTCTGCAAGGGTTGGCTCCTAGGCTCCCTAAAAAATGTTATTTAGATTCCCAAATTCTCTACTATTCTTAGCCTTCAGGGCATAGAATTGGCAAAGAATTCCCTTGTCACAAAGATCTTACAGTCAAATGCAGATGTAATGTTTTAAGGAAGGTAGTTTGATGGTATATGGGTAAATGTATTTTTTCATGTAGACTAGCAAGTAGCACGCATGGCTCAACTGTGGTACAAAACAATTCAGGGATTCAGGTGTAGCGTCCTTGCCCTAAGATGCCCATCCTAATCTCTCTGTAATGTCCACCATTTCAGCGTAAGAAATCCACAAGCTCTTAGCCTTCCTTTATGCTCGTCTCGTAGGCTACACTTCAGATAGATGGAGAGCTCTTGAAAATGAATAATCGTAACAGAATGCACTCAGCAAATGGCATTACAAGCATTGTTAATCTCTCTTGAAATTTAAGCAATGTCTGCAATGTAATTATTCTTCATGTGTCCTTTAAAATGGCACATTTTTCTTCTGACATTCACCTGCTATGTTATTGATCCTCTTGACATCTGTCTCAGTAGCTTCCTAGACGTTTCCCTTCTGGCAGGAGTAGGAATGGGACAGTCTGTTTTTTGACACCAGTATCTAGAAGGGTTTTTGTGAACATGCTGCAGAGTTTGCAATGATATTGAATTTGTGGCATTTCACCCTTAGTTGAGTTTTTGGCAGAATCCAAAAATGAAATAAGATTGTGGATTTGGGACAGCTCTAAGAAAAGTATTGTGTGAATTTATATCCTACAATGACATGAGGCTGGTGCAGGAGTTTTGTGAAGTATATGTGGGTTTTGTGGTCATTTGGAGGCATCTCCACTCCTCTTTTCCTCAGTTCTTAGCTGTCTTGGTGTCATTTTATATTTGTAATAAAATTGTAGACTGGTCATGAACTACTTGTGACTCTGGGCAAATAATTTAAACCCCGTGCTTCATATCCAAAGTGTAGAAAATAATCTCTACCTTTTTAAATCAGATTTTTTTAAGTGTTCAGGTTAAAAAGTGCTGGATTAATATATATTGTTAGTGATATTTGTTTAAAATCTCAAAGAACACTTCACTGAAGAACTGACAATATATTCTTACTGCTAATATAAGCCTCTCTGTGTTTACAGAAACATAGATGAAACTTCTTTCTCCAAAGGACAGACCCAGATTTTTTTGTGTCAGGTTAATATTTCATTTTTTAATCTTGACTGTTCAAGCAGTTTATGTTTGTTTTCAACAGGAAAAACAAAAGAACCGCTTGATTCTTATCAAGAGAATCAGTCCATTTTCTTTCATTGTGGTTCAGCTGACTTTTTATTTTCTCAAATCCTTATTTAAAAAACTACAAATGGAGCAACAACAAAAGACGGATGTTTAATCTCTGGTAACAATTTAGGAGTTCCCAGAATCCTCTGATGGATCATTTTCTTCTATCCTATTATTCACAGGGTACTCTGATAGGATTTAGCCAGAAAGATTTACATATAAAGACAGGATTACAAGCCTGTGTTCTTTGTATCTCCTTTATAAACCTTTCAGAATTTGAGAGGATTCGGGGACCCTCAGCCTACCCAGAGTTTTTTCCCAGCAGATATCCCTTTCTGTCCTAGAAGTTTGGAATGTGGCTACTGTTATTTATCTTCTATGCCGTTGGCCCTTAATGCCTTTTTGTGTTAGTTTATCTTTCCTCTCACATTTATTCTTCTCTCTAAACAGGTGTTATTTGAGCTTGCCCGGTACCATGCTCCTTCCACAATTTTCTTGGATGAGCTGGAGTCAGTTATGAGTCAAAGAGGCACTATTTCTGGGTAACTGACCACTTCCTATGGCTTTAGGAGAATATGTCCTTCTTTTACTGCATCTTTTCAAAAGCATTTGTGTTCAGGTGCTGACCAATGTTTCATCATACAGTGTACCTGTTAGAAACTAGTCTTAGCTAAAGTAAAGCTTGAGCCTACTCTATAAACTTCAATAGGAGCATGACTGGGCCCCTGAAAGTCTCATCTTTTAGATTTTATTGATATGAGTGATATGAGTGATAATGGTAGTTTTAATGATTGTTTATTAAGTATTTGTCCTTTTGTTCTGTTGACAACTTTAGGAGCCTCGCAGTGTCTTATTGTCAGAGTCCCTGTCGGCTCCCAAAGTACCGCTTCATGGAAGCGTTGCATACAGTGTGGCGACTTAGAGTGAGATGTAGTGGTGGTTTCATTCACAGCAGATGAGATCAGTAGAGAAGTAGGCATGAAAGTCAGGTTTTATGAAGATTAGCAAGGCACTAAGGGTCCAGCAAGATTGTGAGAAGGAGGGAGGTGCAAGAGTGTACAACCAGTGGTGCTGTACTTTAAAATAAAGGATTTGAAGTAGAAATAAAGGCAGTGGCAGTGAAACAACAGTTGATTTGTTAGGGGCGAGTAACAAGCAGCAGATTTTGTGGACAGTTTGGACAGGCTTACGTGAGGTAGGATAAGAGATGGAGTGTACACGGTGGAATGTCATTTTCATTAATGGGACAAATTTTGGTGGCACTGTCAGGACAGATGCAGGAATGGGAGGATGTTGTTATTGTCATCCATTGTGTAGACAGTTTATAGTTAAAAACAGATTGAAAAGGTTAGGGATGAGGGAGAAGCAGGAGAAATATAAAAATGTTGTTATAACCATTAGGAGCCCATTACAGTGGATTTTATGTAGTGTAAATTATATGCTCGCAAAGATGTATAAATAGAATATGCCATATCATGAAGACATAACATGTAATAATTGTCAGTTAATAGCTATAAATCAGGGGCCAAATTTTGCCTTCGTATATATTTTTAAAAGCTCTCATTAGCATCACTGGATTATATACTTTAATAAGGATTTTTATGTAAGTTTATGTAGTTATTTTTACATATCGTTATTAAATATTGACATAGCACTAGTGTGTGGCTGCCTTTGCAGAAATGAGGCATTAAACATGAGTTGTAGTTCTTACCATCGAAGGCCCTGGTGTTTTCTCTGTGTTTGATCGAGGAGTTTCCAAGAACTTCACATCTGGGACCAAGAGTTCAAATTGGTTTCCTGCAAAATTGGTTACCTGGATCAAGGCCAGAATTCTGGGCACTTTGGTTAAGTTCCCCTTCTCTTTTTAAGGAAGGATCCTTTCTGGGTGGTTTCTGCCCCATTTTAAAATTCATTTCAATACAGGATATTCTTCTGTTTGCTTCTGATAAAACATTTTGCAAAATACTGAAATCAGAAGTAGGTGTATCTTCATGTGGCCACTTCACGTTCACTCACAGAAAAAAATGCCAGTAGTTGCCCTGAATAGGTAGGTGTGTTAGTTATTTAGTGGCAACTTTCACATTATAGAAATACTCTTATATAGAACAATCAATCAAAGCCTTAGCTGCTTTCCTGTAAACATTAACATTGTGTGGAGATTAATATGAAGAAAAAAATAAATATTTTCTTTGGATTCTCTAGTAGTGAATTCTCCTCACTTTAATGCACTGAAAAGAGTCCATTTAAGTAATCATTAGAAAGCCTGATTTTAATGCTTAGATGTTAGCTAATGGAGCTTAATCATGCTTTGAACTGGGGCAAAACTGTGACAAGGGCTCAGTTGCTGTGAATGACACTGTATAAATAAAGATGATTACTTTAATGCACTGAGCAAATAACATTTCTCTGAATCTTGGTAGTGGTGAACATGAAGGAAGTCGGCGGATGAAAACAGAATTACTGGTGCAGATGGATGGCTTGGCCCGATCTGATGATCTTGTATTTGTTTTAGCAGCTTCCAATCTGCCATGGTAAGAGATCCAGAGAGTACATTTTGAATACATTTGCATGAGCTTCTAAGCACAGATAAAGATTTTATTTAGACTTTTGCAGAAAAAGCCTTGATATTTGGTTAAAGCATTTAAAGATTAATTTGAAGCTTTTACTTTTAAACTCTACAATTCTTGCTATTTGTGCCACATGAGAATAATCCATAATAAAGTCAACATATGCTGGTGCTACCAGCTGGTAATATTTAAAATGGAGTATTTGACTTTATAGGCAAGTTATTTACTATGTTTAAGCTAAGAAGGGTTTCAGCCTGGAACTGTAAGGTGCTTAAAACATCTAGTGCTTAGAAGGATACTCCATAAATAGGAATGTTGGATTTTATTGGTATCAAAAGTGACTTTTAAAAGTTGAGGGACAAAATTCTTCAGTTTCTTTAACATAACTTAGAACAGAAGAACAAACGGTTTAAGACTGGAACTAGGGCACTTCATCATGCTGCTTCTCAAAATGGGCAGGATGTGTATTGAGAGTCAGACAGACAGGAGAGGATGCGGGAGGGAGGTAACACTTGTAGCGTAACAACTGAGGATGCTTGGGGGAGTTCAACTGACAGCAGAAAATGGCCAACTCATGTGCTCTTGAATAGCATCTCCCACAGCCACTGTCAGAGCTAGCATTTTGATCTGGCTTGATCATTCCTCTGAACCAGCGTAGTGTATCTTTTTCTTTCATACAAAACATTATCAAATGGTTGCAAATGGTACGTGGGAAAAACAACAGCTGTTGGTTAAGCACAGCTATTTTGAGCAGTCTGATTTGTAGCTCATTAATCATTTCCCAGAGTAGGAGCTAACGCCTGCACAGGAAATTGAAGCACATTGATGATGGGCTTGTTTCTGAAGTTAGTTTTCATAGGTCTGGAATTAGTCTGTGGATTTCTGTCTGCCCTGAGTTCCTCCCATCCATGAGCTACCAATCCATGAAATCTTCAGTAGAACATCTTTCCCTGCTGATAAATCTGCATGTTGAAAGCAGAGAGGGGAACCTCAGCAAAGTAAATTGTGGAAATGATCTATTCAGTGAGGGACAGTCTTGGAGGCAGATGTCTGCAAAAAAGATGAGTTAGGCATAAGAAGGGTTTTTTTGCATGCTTACTCCTCTCCCTGAAGTGTACATGAAGCAGAGAAATACAAAGTGTCTCCTGGGGGCAAATTGACTGAATGGCCAATGTTTTTGCAGTTTCCTGACCATCATAGCACTGAGGTCTGTCTTGATACCTGTGTCCCTAAAGGCATGCAGACCTAGTGGCCCTATTCACCTCTCACATTAGAGGTGGTCAAGCTAGGAGTCTGAAAAGGAGAAGACAGCAGTCCTGTTTCCCAGAAACGTGAAGCCGTGGTCTGGGAAATGTTTGGTGGAGCCCAATGGCAGGTGTTCGCAGGAATGACCTTGTGTGAGCAGCGGCTCAGTAGCATTTCAAGTTGGGATACCTGAAATGTGACTGACAGGCACCTTGTTCGTTAACGTGACACTCACCCAGCCCCTGCAGTGTGATGGCCACAGAGCAGGGCATCCAAAACTGGCTGGGAGCAAGAGAGGGCTCTGCACTCACAAAACCACAGGCTTCATTCCTGAATTGGTTTTCATGATTAGTGATTTTTGGGCTGATTCTCATGAGGTTGCCATGGAGAGATGTGTTGGAAAAGCCTCTCTGTGTGACTGGAGGGCTCTGGGCTGTGATCAGCTGGCTGTTGCTGGCCATAGGGAGTGTCTGAGTGAATAACACACTGCATGCATCCGCAGCCACTTGCTTTTGAGTACTTGTTAAAAACCATCAGCTCCTAGTGCATATTTTGTTTTGTATAACATACAAATGCACTTCTCAGTCATAACACACCACCTAATTCTGTGATCGATTCTATGATTCTAATGTTCTCTCACAAAGTTTCTGGTAATGCTTTATTGCTCTCCTTAGCTGGTAGCCTTTTCGGCAGGCCTGGCTTAAAGGCCAAGGGAACAGGCAAAGAGAATTAAACAGAAGTGATGTTGGTGTCTTGGAATTGAGGCTCAAAGGTAATATTTTCAGTCAGTCCCATGTGGCCTGTAAACCTGGCCTGTTTCAAAACACATAGGAGCTGAGAAGCTTGAGTCCTTCAGAGAGGCAGGAGGATGCGTCCCCCCAACTCTCAATGGATGGCTTGGCCATATGGTGTTTCCTGCATGATGAGCAGAGGGGTGTTTTACCCCAGTCCATCATCTTTCATGATCTTCATGGGCAGTGTTCACGTCACATAAGTTTGGCACCTAGGGTAGAAGGCAAGTTTCCCCTGCTATGAGAAAGTCACAGAATCATAGCATCACAGACTGTTTTGGGTTGGAAGGGACCTCAAAGCCCATCTAGTTCTGACCTCCTGCCATGGGCAGGGACACCCTCCACTAGCCCAGGTTGCCCAAAACCCCATCCAGCCTGGCCTTGAACACTTCCAGGGATGGAGCATCCACAGCTTCTCTGGGCAACCTGTGCCGGTGCCTCACCACCCTCCCAGTGAAAAATTTCTTCCTTATATCTAATCTAAATCTACCTTATTTTAGTTTAAAGCCATTAAGTCAACAGCAAAAGAACAAATGCAGCAATTTGGAGCAATTGAGAGACCCACAGGGGTCACTGCTCTTTAACATCCTCATCAATGAGTTGGATGATGGGACAGACCCTCAGCAAGTCTGCAGATGATACAAAGCTGAGAGGAGTAGTTGATAGACCAGAGGCACCTCGACGGGCTGGAGGAATGAGCCCACAGGTATTCCATGAAAGCTCAAGTGTGGGTGATCAAACACTGGCACAGGTTGCTCAGGGGGTTTTGGAGTCTCCATCCTTGCAGATGCTCAAAACCCAACTGGATGTGGCCCTGAGCAACCTGATTTGAGCAGAGAGTTGGACTAAATGATCTCCAGCCATCAAAGCAGCGGCCTAATCTAGGGACCGTGAGAGTAATTCGAAGTATTTCTGTCTTCTGAATGTAACAAAGCCTAAGGAGAGTGGTCTTCTAAGTTAGATATAGAGGCACAGTTGCTGCATAAAAACAGGCAGTGTGTTACCCTTCAGTATCCCTCATTAAAATTAGATTAATTAAAAATATATAAGAACTCACTTGAGAATTACACAGTTCTTCTCTGGTGTCAAGGCTGGAGTTTGTCCATCAAGGGAAGAGACCTAGTCTGCCTCCTTCTACAAGCCTGTCTTTCCCTCTACGTTTTCTTTCCTAATGCAAAACCGTATGTTTCCTATACAGACAAAGAAGGATACGTCAGAGAGCCACCAGGCAGCTGTCTGATTACCTGCTGAAATTCAAGTGCCAAAAAGGCGACATATTCAGAGGCTTTCATCTGCCTCTCTCTGTGGCCTGCCCAGGGCTTTCAGGCTCTTTAACTAGGAGAATGGCTGTGTGGGCACCTAAAATTTGTGTAGAAATTAGATGTACAAGTTATGCTGGTTCCTACCCTGGCCCAACAGTGTGAGTACAAAGCCATCACTGGCTTTTATAGCCATAATAGCAGAATCTGTGTGTTGGTTTGGGGGATTTATGCCTTGGACAAACTCATGAATTTAAATCAGTACAAAATCCACCCCATTTTGTGTTCCAGTATCTACATGAAAGGAACTGAACAGAATTTGATTTAATTATGTTCCAGTCATGTAAGAAAATGCTGAAGAATAAATAGCTACTGTGTGTGAACATTTAAGTTTCAAAGATAATTAATACATTAATAACCCATTTGTTTCTTTATGGTTCATTAGTAATACACTATAAATGTTCATGTTATTGTAGCATCATTACTCATTCAGAAGGAGAAACTCTGAGCAGCGCATTTCACCTTTCCATGCTCTCTTAAATTATCCCGTGAGTAGCTAAGCTTCACATGTAATGCTGCAGCATGGCAGTATTAAAAGAGATCAGATGTCTTTAGAGGATCCGTGTCTTTCTACCCTTGCACACTGGTTTGAAAGGAAAAATTGGGTATTTGAAACCCACCGAGGAAGAGTTCAGAGATAGCAACTGGTCTGAAGGTCATGAACAGCACAATTTCTCACCACTTGAAGCCAATGCTCAGCTGGTGCTGGGTGTAGGGATCTTGGAGATGTGTTAATGTAAGCGTGAGGCTGACCTCGCTCTGCTGCTGCGGAGAGATTCCTGCATGTGTCTTGGTACTGCGTGTCTGTCTTATGCAACCTATAAATTCTTTCTGGAAAGTCACACAAAAAATTACAGGACACAGTTTTGAGTGTTTTACACATTTGATTTTGGATCATTTTGTAATTCTGAAGGGTTGATTTCTGCAAAATTGCTTCTTTGAAACATAAATGACACAGCTTTTTAAAAGTAGATCCAAAATGACAAGATCTCTGTTTTGGGATAACTGCTCCCACATAAAGTTGGCAATCTTTGTTGGTATGAGGGGGGCAGCTGAGCCACTGGGAGAAGCCAGCTGTCGCTTTTGGAAGTTTTATACCTGAGAGTGTAGAATTTCCTTTTGGACTTTTTCAACGTTGCTCATGGGCAGGCTGGATCTTGCCTTCTCTTAAGCAAATCCAACCTGTGAGTGTAATGACAAGGTTATCTGCCAGAAATGTGCCTACCACAGAGAATACGCTTTAAGATGTGGCCAAGTATATGCTTAGAAGGGTGTTTTAGGGGGATGGAAAGATAATGAAAACCGTGGGCATCTTACATCATCATTGAGGCTCACTGCCTCAGGGAATTTGGGAGTGTCTGCTTCCAGAGAGGTTGGTGGGGTTTGAACCCCCTTTAAGATCTCAGCTGTAAGTTTACAGATTATTTTTATGTGTATTAGGCAACATTCAGTCCTACTGTAAGACCTCAGACTTCAGCTGCATAGGGATATTTCATAACAAAGTGTCAAAATACCTAGTACTACAGTCTGAGGTTGTGGCTTCATAGCACAGCCCTGTGTTCTTCCAAACATTTGGTATTAAGCTGGATTTCAAGAGATTTGTTTAACTTGGATATTTATTGATCATGAAAATATTAGTACCAAGCTGCTTTTAGATGAATGAAAAGAAGCCTAAACAAAGCTCTTTACACTGTCCTAAGCTGCACTGCAGCTATTGATCTTCCTCTTCAGCCAGTGCTTGCTGGCTATCAGCAAGGCACTTTCTATTGAGAAATTACTTGTTGAAATAGTTCAACATAATTAAATAAAATAAAGGCCTCATTAGTGAAGAAATAGAAGTGATCCTTAACCACGTAGTGAATGTTTCCTAATGTATTAGTGCATTTAATTTGACTTCCATTGCAGTTTTGCTTTCTTCTCCCTCCCCACCCTCAGGGTGGGTAAAGCTTTGGTGCAGGCTGATGGACTCTTCCCTTCTGTCCAAGCTGAGTCCTGTCAGAACTGTGAGCTCATGGCCAAGATGGATTCAAGGAGAGGTGGGCTGTGAAACCCAAATCAGATCTGAGATTACCCTGTAGTGAGCCCTTTCCTTCGCTCTCAGCAGTGCACGGTGTGTACGGTGGAGGAGAGCGAGGAAGGAGAGTGGAGGAGGACGGTGTGGGGAAGCCCAAAGAGGAGCAGGAGAAAATGTGGATTGAGAACAAGCTCTCAGGTGGTGGTGGCTCTGCCTAGGCTGTCTGAGAGGTGGTAAGCGTGAGAGGCTCGCTCACTCTTGGTGCCTTTTCCTCTAGACCACTGCAGTGATGATTGCACTAGGCAGGGATTAATTACAGACCAGTCAGCCCCTGTTGCTGTTTCTGGGATCAGCTCTGGAGTTGTTGAGGTCTCTTCATGGCTGCCAAAACCACATTTGTTACCCTTCTGGAAACAAAAATAGGTGTTTGTCTTGTTTATCTTCATGAAATTGGGAGTGATAACATGTACAGCTTTGTTTATCTTTTCATGAACATTTCTTAATACTTTTTTTGGCTATTATTTCAGAGAATATTTTGGTTGGCTTAGTGCTTATTATTCTATTCTGGTTAATGTCACTTAACCTTGCATTTGATCACTAACAAAACAATTTAGCAAACAACCTAAACACTTAAGATAACAAAAATATATATCTTTCTTTTCTTCTTTAGCCAACAAGCAGGGTCACTGTAACCTTTCTGGATAAATAGACCAAATTCTGTCTATCGGGACTTATTTACAGAACATGGCCAGGGGCTGCACACAACTGTGATCTTGGGGGCCACCCCAGGAGTGCTCTGAGGCAGGAGGAATGATGGAAAACATCAACATTTAGGTGATTTGTAGGGTTTTTGCAGAAACTCTGGCTCTGGTTGTCCTTTGCCTGCAAGGGTGGTTTAGAGTACCTGCGCAGGCACCTCTAAAACCCTGAGAACTTTTGCCTTGTTTACGCAGAGGATGGCAATGATGTGGATAAATAACAGCCAAGGGGTTGGTGAGCCAGAGAGTAATTATTTCCAGCCAAGGAAAGCAATTTTGAGGAGAAGCTGAGCTGAAAAATGCATTTGGAAGGACAGCAGGGACTAATATGGTTCTTTGTCCATTCTGGGTGGGTCCCTGCGCGAGAGGCCTTGCACTGAATGTTGCACAGCATCTTAAACAGCCTAAAAATATCAATAATAATAATAATATCAACATACCAACAGCCATTGATTAGCAAACTCTGGTATTTACTTCTGAGACCTTGATTAGAAATACTGGGATGGATCGGAGCTAATTCCTGTTGTCCAATGAATCCCTGTTGTTCTGGGTTTCTAATCTTTGCTTTCATTGCCTTTCTCTCAGCGCACGTGGAACAAGCTCTCCCAAACCAAGAGGTCCTTTCTGGGGAGAGGGATGCTTCTGTTCCCGCTGAGCTGAGAGCCAGGCACACTGAGGTCTGCAGAAAACTTTGACAGGCACCTATATGGGGATTTGGGAGCCCATGTTTGGTTTTCTTTATCATGTGCTACGCCAGTAGAAAATATTTGCTATTAAAATAAAGGACAAGTCACCAAAGGTGACAGAAATAAGCTCTGTTGGTGTGCTACAGGTCTATCCTGAGCTGGCAGTTTGAGCTCCCTGTAAATTGAAGAGGGGTTTCACAGAAGAAGCGTTGCTTGAATGTTGACTTTGCTGGCAAAAGGATTTCACTCAGGGAATCCGGAAAGGTAGAGGCAGGTTTATTTAAGTGTACCTATGGTCCCAGATTGCAGGCACAGTCCTCCCCTCCTGCTCAGCCGACAAGCATGGGAATGGTGCTTAGAGCTGCTGTTTTTCTGTCTCCACGAGACACATTGAAGTCTGTTTCCCCTTGATGAGTGTCTCGGCAGGTGTGAGGACTAAATTATATTTTAAACTGAAATAACAAGTCTGTGACTGAATGGGGCCAGTAGAGAAAGGTTAGTACAGCACTTGGAAGGATAATAGCTCAGAGCAGCTCCTGGAAGGCACTGGAGGCATTTATGAGTAAGTAAGTATTTTGTAGCAGCTATTTCTTCTTGAAAGTTGTACAGATGACTGGGGTACTTGTAGACTGTTCCCATTACACAAGTGACAAGGGATGAACTGGAGTAGGCATTTGTATTCAGTTGCTTCGTTGTGTTACCGTTAGATGCAAAAAACTGAAAAGCACTTGGGGAAAAAAATAGATGAAAATGAACTGTCTGGATGTGTGTCTGAGAGGAGCTCGCGTGCCGGGCATGCCGGGTGTACCAGGACTCCTGACACTTTATAGAATCTGTGACACTGGCAAGAAGGACTATTTGTAGATGGCGATGAAAAGCATTCAGACAGGGACAGAAAGAAGCATTAGTTTTTCTTTCAAGCTTCCTTTGTGCGTCACAAGCAAGTAAAAATGAAGAGTAGTCCCCATCTTTTGTATTTTACTTTTTTCTTTTATCAGTGTTGAAGTTGACATCATCATGTTTTTTGCTCACTGACACATTTATCCAGCCTGTCCATCCTTCACATGATGCTTTTTTTAAGGATGTTTTCCTTTGTTCCTGTATTATTTGTAATTCGTATTGCAGGAGCAGTCTTAGATCAACATCTTGTTCTGCCATAAACATGGCCCTTCAGTCTGCGTTTTATACCTACTAAGGATCCCTGACAAAGTAGCAATTAATTAGTCCAGACAGTGCCCCAGATAGACAATTTGTAATGTCTCCTTAATAGCAAAGGGAGAAAGGGAGAGGTGGTTACTGATGAGACAGACTGCAGATGAGTACCAGAGCCAGGGAAGATAACTACAACTTCTGATGGTTATTGTGAAGCCTCATTGTCACAAGCCAGCATATTGCTAATATACTGAACAGGAATACACTGGATAATTAATGTTTTGGTTTATTTTGGGTTTTTTTTCAAAATTAGGTTGATAGAGTTATAGGTGGGGTTGAAAAATGCCAACCTGCAGTGAGCAGCTTGCTGTCAAAGCCATGTCTCTGCAACGAGACATGATGAGATGATTCCTCTGCTCCTTTGCTTGCAGGGAGTTAGATTCCGCCATGCTGCGGCGGTTGGAGAAGAGGATTTTGGTCAACCTCCCCAGTAAAGAGGCACGGCAGGTGATGATCCAGCACTGGCTGCCTCCTCTGAGCAACAGCGGAGGAGTGGAGCTGAGAACGGATCTAGACTACAGCTTGCTTGGCCAGGTGAGACATGCTGCAGCAGGGACAATGCCCACCTGGTGCTTGAGGTCTTTCAGGGTGGGAAGCATAAGCAAGAGTGACATACATCACCCACAGCAGTGACGTTATGCTGTGGCCAGAGGTCCAGAGGGTTGGGATGGCATTTCTGTATACAGCAACTGCGACATACATAGCTGGGCCAAGGACCTCAGCTCAGCGTGAGGCTCCAGGCAAAGGGAAACCAGCCAGACGTGGGGCTGCATGTTTCACAGGCACTTACCTGGCCGTGGAAATCACAGAGCTCTGCTTGCAGAATGGTGTATTCTGATCCTCTCTGTTGGGCCAACTTTCCAGCCTTAAATACAGGGAGACTTCCAGCAACAGTATATTTTACCACTCTTCCCACCAGGCTGGGAGCATTTCCAATTCATCAGGGTAATGAAGAGTTAATTGATTTGTCACAGCTCCACTGCTGCGGGAGAAAAGAGCATTTAGACAGTGAAGATATTGACTAGGTATCAGGCTCTCTGCATTTAGCCCTTTGTTATATCCTAAATTCTCTGAAAATATCTTACAGCTTACCCAGTTGGCCCTTTTTACATCTGTTCACAGAGCATTACTGCTCAGGTCTTGTTTCATAAATGTTAATAAGGAAATAGTTTTATTAACAGGAAAGCCAGGAACAGGAAAGAAAGGTGGGGTTTATCTGACCTATGGAAAATTGCCCTTTAGAAAGAAAATGCCCAGTATTTTCCTTGCTCCTACAAGGTACTGTGGGCATGCAAAACAAGAACAAGCAACAGGGGAGGGTACACATAAAAGTATATATGTCTGTGTATATGCTTTTATATATAGACGCATATAAATACATTTCAGACAGGAATAGACTTTACAAATATTTTATATATATATTTTTATTTTT